TTTTTTTGTCTTCTATTGCTTTCTCTCCGAACTTTTAACCGTTATGAAATTGTGGAGGAGAATCGGATGTCAAAACAAAGGTTTTTATGCTTTTTTCCGTTGTCTTTTTTCTTCTTAGTTTTGAATGAAACTTTGTGTTTCTTTTTCCGCATTATTTTTGTTGCTTTTGACTCCAAATATTGATGATTCTTCTAAAATTTTATTGCTTCAGAATATCACTGATTACTTTTTGTACCTTTATTTTTTTGTGTTGCCTTTTATTATTGCTTATTATATTTTTGAAGAATGTTTCCTTTATTTGCGAGAAAACAAAAATATACTGTTTTTTAAAGCTCTATATAAATTTTCGAACAGTTCCTTTTCTTTTCATTTATTCTGTCATCTTCACTTATTACTGCTGTACTTTTTTCAGTTATGCAGTATTATTAGTATTATTATTATTACTTTTTTTTTGATGGTAAATTGTTAAAAAAATATTATTTGAAAGGAAATTGAGAAAAAAAAAAGTGTGAAAGACATGAAAAAAAAAACAAGATTTTTTTTAACTCTCCTTTTTTGTACAGTAATGAAAGTTATGAGCAGTTATAATGATATTTAAACAAGAATTTAGTGTCATGAAAATAAAAAGATGGGCAAAATAGAGTGAAAAGGTGTTATTGAGAGCTATTAGTCGACAGATATATTTCCGGACAATTCTCTTTACTTAGTGAATAATTTCAGGAGGTGAAGTAGAAAAAAAGTTTTATTTTTTTTTTTGGTTAAATCTGTTCAATTTCTTTGCTGTACAAAGTCGCTCAATGATTCGCAAACAGTAGCAAAGCTAAAGATAAAGTTTAGGAAAAAATACGGAAAGAAATATAATAGTTGCTTTTAGAGGAGTAAAAAAAGAACACTTTTGAACTGTTTTTTTTTTTTTTTTGTCAATTTTTGTTTATTTATTTTTTGAAACTTTATCCCATTGATTTCTCCTTTAACTGTCATCATTGTTACCATTGTTCTCGCCGTCGTCATCGTCGTCCGTCGTCGTCGTCGTCGTTCGTCCCATACAGTTTTATATGGTGAATAAAACACATTTGTGTCATCAAGTGTTTTCACACAGTGTTTACCAATCTGCACATTGATATATAATTTGTGAACGGTAGAGGAAAATTTTTTGCAAGGATAATTCGTCAAAATCATTTGGCTTTTTATTTGGCTCGATTAATACGGAAAAATCAATTTTGTTTTCAAAATCAGTTGTATGCTTTACACAATTGGATTGGTGAACAAACTAATCAACACTTAAAAACGGGCATCTAATTTTTATCAGTAGCCATAAATTTTGCCAATATAAACATCGACAGATACACTATATGTGTATGCCGAAAAATGGATTAGTTCTTAGAGGAGTCTGAGATGAAGAAAAATAAACGGAAATCTAATGCCAGTTTTAATTGGTTGGAGGAAGAACAGGGAAGGGGGGAGGGGGGAAGGGGGGAGACGGGAGGAGGAGGGGGAGAGAGGAGAGTGAAAGAATTGCTGTTTTTGGGAGAGTTTGTTGTTTTAAATCAATAATCAATGTTTATTAGTCGTCTGGGTATATATCTGAAAGAAGCGTGTTTTGATTGCCGTTGAAGCCGTTATTTTATTGAAATGATGTTGAAAAGATGAAAGGAATCTTTCTTTTTTTTTTTACTTTTTCAGCGTTTGCTTTTAGAAATGGAACAACATTTCTTCGTTTGCTCGATTTAGGCATATGTATATATATCTAAGTAGCTTTTTTCTTCTTTTTTCTTTTCTTCTGATAACAGAGGACTGAGTTGAAAGTTTTGGAATTGCTGTGCTTTATTTTGATATTATTATCATTATGGCTTATAATTTTAATGTTAATTCAATTTTGGCATTTTCTTTAAAAGTAAAGCATAAATATTTTG